CTGACAAATTCCTTTAAAATAAAGGAAGGTTTTCAACTTGGTTTCGTTCTAGGAGTAAGAAAACACGGATGGTCAGAATTTGTGAGTAAAATTTATTGCAAATTGTCCCGTCCTGAGCACCATTTTCAGACATACGTTCTTTTAAAGTTCTTTTAAGCTACCGGTATGCCTCCCCCTTCAAACGAAATGCTCCGACGAATGAATAAGCTATAAATACGCGGCGCTGGGATGGGCGTCGAAAGGGCAAACTGAGAAATCCGGAGACCAGTTGCCTCCAGTTTTCCCAGTTTACGGCTTCGTTCCCATAAAAACCAGGCTGGGGCATCTCGCCATCGGCAGTCGACCCCTGCGCCAAGCAGTCCAAACCTCCTTCCAGCTCCGAGGAGCCGTGGAGACCCAAGGCTGGATCGGGAGATGAGTAGGGCTGGGAGGCATAAAACGGATCCCCCGCCAGCTGCTGAGTCTCCTGCGGGTGGGAGGGGTGATAGGAGAAGGTCGCTGGGGGAGGTTGCAGGAGGGGGTGCTGTTGGGGAGGTTGGGGGATGGCGGGAACCAGGCCTGATCCAGAGGGAGCGCTGGCGTCCCAGGAGCTCTGTAGGAACTGGGGAGAGGGCTCCACAGGTGCAGGGACATGCAAAGTGGAAGGAGCCGCTTCCTGGCTTCTTTCCACCGTTTGGAAAGTCGGGGGGTGTCCTAGGAAGGTCCAATTGTTCCCCTGTGGGTCACCCCAAACGGGTCCTGCCGCTATGGAGGAGTAGTTAAGGTTGTCAGGTGCCAGTGGCGACTCCGAAGGGTCCTCCTGGTGGCTGCTTTCCCCACTTTCTCCCGAGTTCAAAGGCTTGGGTTGCCTGGCCCTTTGAGAGTCAGAATGTGTGCATACACCCGTTGTTATTTCAAAGCCGACATATCCCATCCCGGCTGCAGAGAAAGTCCTTTGTGCTCCCTTCCTAGCAGAAGGCCAAGTTAATTCCCTTTTAACAGCTCTTAGTCTCTCCGCTGCCCCCTTGACCCTGGTCGGTGGGATACGTGCGCGAGGGGGAGGTCATCCTTAGTTATGTGGATCCGCGCCTCCGGGATGCCAATCTCACGGGCTAGGCGCTCGAGGGCTTCGTAGCCGGGATACGGGTGCACCTCGAAAGCTTCGGTGAGGCGGTCCACTTGCTCCCTTGTATAGATGGTCCTTTTTCTTCTTTCGTCCCTGGCAGATCCCGCTTTTGGCCATTTTCCTGAAGGGAAGGGAGAAGGAGGGGGGAATCAAGTGCACAATGTGAAGTGCAATTTGGAGAGGATCCGCGTTTTGTAGTTCGGCAGAAGGAGGACGCGGAAGCCAGGATTAACAAACAGTAGCAGGTTTATTTAACATTAAAAAGAGGTGACAACGATTCCTTTTTGGGGAAACACATGCCGAGATATTTATACAATTATACAACCAACCACTGGCCGAGAACTGGGCGGCACCGATCGTATCTCGGCCAATCAGTAGTAACTGGGGCCAGCAACAGCCTCAGCTGCGTCCTAGCCAATCAGGCCGCAGCAGAGCAGTTGCTGGCCCGTTTGCAAGTCTCCTAATACATAACACCGCGGATCTAGATGGGGCTTGTGTAAACGGGTGTAAATGGTCCTTTTTCTTCTTTCGCCCCTGGCAGTTCCCGCTTTTGGCCATTTTCCTGAAGGGAGAAGGAGGGGTGAATCAAGTGCACAATGTGAAGTGCAATTTGGAGAGGATCCGAGCATCTAGATGGGGCTTGTGTGAACGGGATCAAGACGCTCCGTTTTGGAATCAGCCCCGTTGTCTGAAGGCCACTTCTCAGAACCTGTTAAAAAAAGCGCACCCCACCTCCCTCTTTCCCATCGACCAACAGGCTTCCCAATGCAGACCAGTTAGAGGTTTTAATTGGTTAGCCGGGTTGGATTAACTTAAAACTGAGCGCGGGCGAAGCGAGACGCCCCAAACCGAGAGAAATCCCCCTCCTCACGTTTCCTCCCCTGTAAACCCGGGTTTGGAACGACTTCGGTGGTTTTCTCCATCGGCCAGAGTCTGGCTCCCTCCAAACCGCGCAAAGGGATGCGATCCCCGGCCACAAACGGGTTAGAACACTGTTTTGCGGGCGCTCGGCTAACCGACATCCCCCATCTGCATTGCCCCGCAAAGGAGGGAGGGAAAAAAGAAACAGGGAAAAATAGGGCGCCTCAAAGGTGATTTCTTACCTCAATTGCCGGAGTTCATTTTGGATGCAAGTAAAATCTGTTTGCAGGAGAAACGTCTCGGATTGGATCAGACGTCAGATGCGGCTGCTAGATATAATTGGGATATGACTTTTATAGTGGTTCAAATGCAGACCCTCCCCACCACTGGGTGTCTTTATTGGTCAATCAGGGCAGTGGAGGGAAGGTCAGGATACTTGCCTTTTAAAATGACCCTTGCTGTTGGGCCCCTGTACTTATTTACACATTGGAAAAAGAGGAAGAAGGAGACAAAGAAGAGCAAGGAAGCAGGATCGGAACCCAAGATGGGGTTTGGGACCTTCAGAATATC